TATTCCCAGAAGTGAATAAGTATCTTATTTTGGTAATTTTGTTTTATAATTCTATTATTGTATAATTCTTAAAACTATTTGCATGTTTAAATATACTTCAAGTTTAGTGGATGATTGGATCTCAAGCAGTATCTATCACCACAGACTCCAGAAAGCAGCTAAGATTGAATTTAGATAGAGCGCATGATCTCTGTAATAGAAAATGAAGCATAATGTTTAATAATTAATACATTTTGGTTGAAAGAAGAGATGTATGTAGTATTAGTCCCACGTATAATGATGGCATCTGACACAAAACATGCAGAATTCATCTCATTTTCCTTAGTTTAAAAACATAGTAATTTTGTTTGCAAAAACATTGACAACATTTGCCCTTTTATGAAGAGATATAATCACTTTCTGTTAAACTAAGAAGTGCCAGGAAATGGTGTTGCAAATGCTTATGCTGATATTTCAGTTGCCTTGACTTCTCATTTCTCTCACAGGCAGGAGGCATCTTCTGTCCATGAAATTTCATCAATTTTATCACTGAAAGGTGACATTGCTGCTTATTTCCTAGGTTCAATGAATAAGTTCTATTTTAAATATGGCTCTAAATCATGGATTAATTCAATACCCATTATTTCAATAACCTCTATAGAACCTAGGTAAGTTGGAAGTACTTACACTTGTAAAAGACACAGTCTTTGCCCTGGGGTAGGTTATGGTTTCAGTCATGGAGCAGATTTTCAGACAAGTAAAGAATACTTAAAGGAATGTAAGTAGTATAGGAAATCAAAAGATAGATAAGGTCCTTAACTTGACTATTAAATTCAATAGCTTATAAAGAATAAACAGTATTTGAATACATAGTTAGGGGTTGATTTTTAAACACAGTTGGTGGGTCTGTTAATTGTATTCACTTTTCTAAAATTTTATGGATATTCTTAGAAATATAATACTAAAGATAGAGAGGAAGTTAAGCTTTGTAAGTTGTTAGGATTCCATTTATACTTTGGTTCACTCACATCATTGTCAAGCACTATTATTTGTTTCCCTCAAAAGATCCACTTTTAGCCTAGAGTGCCACATGAAATATGTGACTGAAACTATCTTCTTGGATAACATCCGTCTTCAGTCAGTATTTCACATATCCTACAGAAGCCCAGAGTTACTAAATGGAGCCATAATTCTTAAATCACAGTTCATGCAGGAATACCTTTTAGTGCCTACTGGTTTAACACAATCTTATAAATGATCCTTCACAAAGGATGTAAAAATCAACACATATCTTTAATGGGCTAATTGTGTTTCACTGCAGCATTGAGTCTATAAAAGCTTTTTAATAGTGAGAGAAATGATGGCATTTTCACCTTAATTTGCAAATATAACTGCTATTCTAAATAGCTTTTTGTTTCTAACTTAAGTGCTTATTGACAGCAGAAATTTCCCCCAAACACTAATAGAGTATTTAACATAATTGCATTTATTGAAAGAAAATCCAAGGGAAAATAACATACAGCTATCTGAAACTATTTAGCAGAAGTAAAATATCAAAAGAAAAAGTAAGTTAAATCTAAAGTTTGAGATCTAAAATGTAACTAATATTCAATATAAATTCAACACAACATATATTTGATTAAACTTATACATTTAAATATACTGATGAGATTCAAGAAATAAAAACAATATCCTGGAAATCCAGAATAACAATTAAGAGCCATATGAAAACAAACTGAAACTAACAAGCTAATCCCTATTTTATAGAATTTCACATTATTTGATTGAAAAATAAGAATATTTTTTAGCTCAACTCATGGAAAATTAGAACAATTGAAATTAAATTCAATCAGTTGTAAATTTTCCCTTGAGAAAACAATTTCATTTTTACCTGGAGTTTAACCTCTACCCTATTCAAAATTTTGAAGCCCAATTTCTTAATTTCAATGTACTTAGTAGGGGGTTCAGGGTAGTAAAATCACCACTCCTATTTTATTAAACTTTATTCTAAACATGGCAATAAAGTAGTCCATATGGAAATACATGGAATAGTTATCTCTCCCTAACTCTTCAGTTCTGTTTCTAAGCAGACATCCACAGATGATGGACTGATTCTGAATGGACATATTTCCAATTAAAATCTCAAGTCTTTGAGTCCCACTTTTTCTATGTAATAACATATATTTATAAATATTATGGATACTCAGCAAATAGCTTTTTAATGTCAGATTTGAAAAAAACGTTCTGTCCGTTCATGGTAGCTTTTCTCTTAAGTCTAAGTAAAAAGTGCCAGAGACTGCTTTTAAAAAATAAGTGCAGGAAAACTGATTAAACCGGTTAGACACAAAAGGAACATTGGAGGAAAGGAAATAGCATGGGATTGAACCCTATGATTTTATTGTTTTCACAGAAAATGCAATAACTCCTCATTGATATCAACTACCCAGTTGCAAGAAGAGTATAAACCTTCTGCTTGTTGAGACGCAGGTGAGGCAATTTGTAAGTAGTCATCAGCCAAAAAGGAAATGAGCTTGCAGTAATTTTTTTTTCCAGTTTAAATGCTATTGTGAGGCCCTGATCTTTGAAAGGCACATTTAAAAAAAAGAAGTTTTTTGCTTTGTTAAAGAAACTGCATTCAAAAGAATCTTTTGAAAATCACTAGCAAAATCATACTAGTCTGTCACCATCTTTCAAATCACTAATCAAAACAAACAAAATAGGTAATGAAAAATATCACAGCCAGTTTCATACAGTCTTAAGCATAGAACTGAATTAATTGTTCTTTCAATTATGCATTTTGACAGATGTTTATTATAAAGTCTTAAAATAAAAATGCATGTTTGTTGAAAAGTTAGTACAGTTGTCATTCATATTTTGCCATATTTTAAAATATAAAAGAGTGGGATTATTTTATCATTTGTAACATAATGTGACTAGCTGGTTTGTAACTCTGATTATTATAATTATCATAATTCATTGCCATGCCAAAGTCAATTCTGTGATATATGTGAAATGAAATCCCATTAGCTTATTGTATGACATTGTAATGCACCATGCATCTTTCAAATCTCTTAAAGAAAATTTAATGGCAGGCCAAACTTCTAACTTACTAAGTGCCGTGAATCACATAAAACAAGAAAACACTTCAAACCAGGGATACATAGCATATTATAATTCATGATGGAACTAAAAAATACATAGCAGGAAAAAAGAAAAAGACAGCAGGATTAGGTATGTATATGATGTATGTAAGAGAAGATTCAGAATTTTTTAAAGCACAAAGTAAAAGTTATGTCATTTTTAAATAATGCATAGGCAATGAGTATTTAATTAAACCCTACAAATATGACAGCACATCTTTTCTCACTTTTGGGTTTCCTGAAAAGGAATAATATTGGGCATGATTCAATACTTCCAGAAGCCTTAGTGAATTTGGTGAATCTCAAGATATCTAAGATGTTATCAGTTTTAATATGCACTTTTATTTTATCTATCACTATCCAGAAATGCTACCAATTGTAACTAAAACAGGCCCAGTAGCAGAGATGTTAAATGTGGAGGAACAAGCATTTTTGATAATGAAACAGAGTTAGCTCCTAATTAATTGGATCTATTAGTGACCCTGGTGATTATGTGGTGTAATCTTTCTTCCAGAGAATTAAAAGCTCTATTGCCTGATGCTTTCCTATAAAGTACAACAAAAAATTGACATCAGTTACACTTAAAAATATGTTATCAAAAAGCAAAAGGGGAAATATACTGGTGAGTTCAACTCATAATAAACACAAAAAATATTAGGCAGCTGATAAACAGGCAAGTATTTTAAAGTCATTATTATTACTGATGCTAAACCAGAGATTACTTAATACAACTTACACTTCACTTATCCCAACATTTTAAAATTTCCTGAATTTTTATTCATTTTCTTTCAACTGAACATTTGATAGTGAATGAAAAACATTTATTGAATTCTAAGTTTGTTGGTTTATAGAAATGATCCAGAACCCACTTGGCGATGTATATTCTAATTTATTACCATATCAATAAATCTGATCATTTTGCAGTTCCTCTTCTTACCCCTTTGTTCCTGGCACTCAACTGCAATTTCTCAAAAATTTAATCAAAAGTAACTTTCGAAGTACCAGCCAGTTCTCATGGACTTCTGAAGCTATGTGAAAGGTTATAAAAAGACTTTAGTATTTTATCACTGCTTTGTAGAAGAACTGAAAACTTGTACTTACAGCAATTTCTTTGTGCAGAGTTACTAAGGAGAAAAGTAGACTTGATTGTTTTCTTGTAAAGGGCACATGTATATTCAAATATTCTGAATAGAGATTTGTTTTTTCTTTTTAAGGTTTTTCAAAAGTCTCACTCAAATCAAATTCACGATAAAGGAAGAAGGCAGAAATGAGCTAGGCCTCTCTTTAGGTATAAAATAATTTTTTAATAGTGTCAGCAATGAGTGTGCAGAAAATCAATTAGAAAGGATGATCCACTAATATGGACCAGTGGAAAGAAGTGGTTAGTTGCCCCACAAAATGGAAGTCAAGGTGAAGGACAGTTAGTAAATACTAAGGTATGTGCCCCAAATATTGTTTACTCTTTGGTTTGATAAAACAGATGGTTGACTGTAATTTTGAAAATTTTCAATATGCCTGATTTGTTCAAGTAACTTATAAAGCGTATTAGTTAATTCTGTTTCATTTAAAGAACTTGGTTTTAGCTTGATTCTCTCACTACCTAGTTCCAACTGGTCCCCTCTTTAACTATGAAAATACACATTAAATTCCAAGGTTGTATTTGTTTCGTACTTTACTTTCGTTAAGTTTGACTTTTATTTCACGTGTATGAAAAATTTGGAAGAGTGCATTAAGGGTTCCTGTTAAATGCTTTCCTGCCAACATTAAGGTGTATGAAGCCCTCAAGATTTACCCCATGGTATCGTAACTGATAAATTGTATAGCTAGTCTCATTTTGGTGACAAGTAAACATTGCTCAACAAACACACATACCGCTTTGCATACCTTACCTGGAAAGAGGCTTTATTGAACATAGCTGTAAAATTATCTTTTAAGTTGAATTACTGAATTTGCACAAACATTTCTACAGAATTTTTTCTTTTAAAAACCAAGCTTTGTCATTTTCCACTACATTTTGTTGTGCTTTTTATATTAATACTTGTAAATGTTATAATTTAATACTTATTTCCCAATTACTTGCATAATCAGTTTTTTTAAATCCTGGGGTGTTGAAAGAACATATAATAATAATAATATTCTTCTTTAGACAAAAGTCTTTTTAAATGAAGTTAAAAGCTGAGATAATTTAAGGAAAAAGATCTTCAAATTTTCATAACCAACAGGTTTAAGTGAAATTTACAATGCATTGGAAAACTGGCTGGTTAAAGGTATGATTTGTCCTCAGGTAGCTCAAAATCATTTTTACAGGTTTTTGTTTTTTTGTAAAAGTGTTTTTAATCTCGGCAAAATAATAAAATAATATTTCACAATTTGCACAGAGTCTGACTAAAGGGCAGAGGCGTATTACCCTCAGTGTTTAGAATAAAGCCAGATTTTTCAGGCCCAGTTCCGCCGTGGAGTTTGTACGCACTGCAATCACAAACATTTTCTTTGCTCCCTCTACAGCTAGGGCCAATTTCATTTCAAATGGAGGTGAGAGTAAAAAAATCACTCTGTTTTACCACCTTCTGCGCTAAGTATTATCTTAACAACCTTTTGCTCTGGTTGACCCATTTAATAACCTGGAAGAAAAAAGTGTTGCTCCCATGTCTGGTCTCAATGGAAGTTATTTTCTGATGGACAATTAAGCCGAAAGGCCATGGCTGTCTAGGAGGTCCAGCAACAAGTAACTCGTCTGCATGGGCTTACGCAGTAGCTTCGGTCCTTTCTTCTTCAGAAGCGGCTTTTGTCGTCTCTCCTGTAATTTGCACGTTTAGGCTCTGTAGTTTGTTTACAAAATAGTTTTACACAAACCACTCTTAGCAGTGCAAGCTTCTGAGTTGAAAATTATTCAGGCTTGTTTCATTGAAGGCACTTGGTTTCCATGGCAATTTATAAAAGATGGTGGTTTGGTTTCTTCATTGGAACAGATGACTTAGTTTGGGTGTTCAAGTGGCCGCGAGCAAACTCCGATAAGCCTGTGTAATATGTAAGCCCAGGTTTACCATCCTGGATAGTAATGCATGCAAAAAGAGACAGCATACAGTTATCTAGCTTAGCCATGGGAGGAAAACAAATAAAAACAACAAAGGTGGGATGGGGATAGGTGGGGAGGAGCATGAATGTTTTAAATAATTCTGAGTTCGGGTTATTTTCAAGGAAGGGTAACAACCAAAGGTAAAAGGGCCTACATTTATTTAATTCTCTACCTAAAATCTTCTTGAAAGGAAAATAAATGCCAGCTTTTCACGTACCCTGTTTACAGTGAGGTTTTTGTTGGCAGGCCATTAGGTTTCCATGGTAACAAGCAAACTATTCATTTGAAACAAAACCAGCCATGACTTTGTGCTTTGACAAGGATTTCTATAGCTTTTTTTTTTTTTTTTTTTCCAGAGTTCAACCAGATGACCAGATGACGCTGTAATCTTTTTAGCCACAAAAGCACCTGAAGGTCTCTTCTCTACTCAGGTCAAGATTATCTTTTATATGTAGTTTGGAATAAGTTATATTTCCATGATGTCTTTTTATCCCCAGTGCTTTAAAAAATTCGTTTTTATTATTTTATTTTTGAGTCAGTAGTCAGTGGAGGAATCTTTGGTAGTTTGTTTTTTCAATGTCCATTTACAAAGACTCTTTCTTCGTGCCAGTGCCTGGTGAATCTTTTATAGCCTCTGCCAGGATAAGGTCACCTTCGAGGACTTAAGATAGAGATGAGGACGATGACTGGGAAAAGCCATAGATGTACTAGAATTCCAACAGCACCATCAACAGAATCTAAAGACAAGGAAGAGAATGCCAAGAAACAAACAAAAATAGAGAATAAATACTCCATGTAGCTATCAGTACAGCTTAGGTGAACTAATAAAACAATATTAGCATATGGAAAACATTTTTAGAAATTATTCTTTTGGGTTTGTTTTATTGATCAGTATTTCCAAGACAAGCAAATAAGAAACTAATTTAATTATATGGCTAGAAATTCGATAAAAGAAAAATATTTGAAGTTGATATGCTATGCTTTGAAAATTTGTTCAGAAGATATTTGTGTGTGTTTGTGGCTAGGCTCAACCTCAGCATTCTGGTAGTCACTGAAACCATGTGCACATAGAAAATTCTAGGACATCCTAAGAGGTCAGTTTTTATTCCCTGCACCACCCCCCCCCAAATCCCAAGCTTCCAGAAGCGGTTAATGATTAAAGACTGAAAGAAAAAATGCTTTTTATAAAAACTAGAATGGGGTTGTTATGGGTAGAAAAGTAACTATGGCAAACTGGATTATATATGCTTAGATCAGCCTAATACAAATAAATTGGGTAAATAATTCTCTCTCTAGTGTGAGTTTTATGGACACTATGAAGTCCATTCTAATTAAATTCTTTTTTCCCAGCACAAGCTACAGTAAGATTCCTATCGTAATTGGAGTTTCAACTAGAACTTCATGTCCCGGTGATACCTCTCAAAATGTATGCCTTGCCTAGGAGGGCTAACACAGGCAAGTCTGGTAATTCATTAACCTGGCTTAAGTTCTATCATGGCTTTTACCTAGGAGAGACCTGGGTTTTGAAGTTAAGAGACAACCTCAGCCTTTGATATTGTGGTACCATTTACTGCCTGAGAAGGGTTGGGAAACTGAGCAGTTAGGAAGAAGCTTTTGCAGCCAATCTGGTTTGTACTTAAAAATTAACAACAACTTAATATTCACCAAATACTACTTGTCAAAATGAGCTTAATAAATGATAGTTAAATGCGTACTAATGTAACAGAATACTTTCTCATACCAAATAGAATGTTTTTGTTCATCAAGGCTGTTTCCTCTGATTTCCAGAGGCTAAATAGAAATACCTCCAGTAGGAACAGACAGATTTTATTTAAAACAAACACATATTTCTCTCAATTTAGAAGAAAAGAAAACTGATTATGCAAGTATACTAATATGTAACATTAAAGTCCCTATGGGCTATCATAGTCATTTTACTGTGGCAACTCTTACCACTTCTGTTTTCTCCATGAGAGAATTATGTTCTCTTTTGCTTTCCGCATTTGAAGAGTTTAGTTCAGTTTCTTGAATTTCATTTGTAATAGGTTTCAGTGATTAAATTATCTAAATGTAAGATTTCTGTGTAAGAGGGTATCTTCAGTTAATGTTACTATGATTGGTTCATGTTTGAAATTCAAAAGGAACCCCATTCTCCTCCTCTAAGGAGAATGCATACTATTCTCTGGATTTCACAAACTTACTTCATTTGGGTACTGCTCCTGGTTTTTTTAAAGTGAAATTAGCCAGACACAGGAAAAATTTTTTACTAAATTTGTTACTTGAAATACTAGGTGTAATGACAAGAAGGTGAAAACTTTGAGCAAAGTGGCTCATTGTTAGATACAATCTTAGTTTTTATCTTTTTACAATGCTTAAAAATGGAGTCAGTTCATTTCATATGAGCAGTCACTGGCTCATATGAACTACAAACTACAAAATCAAATTTATAGTTGCACAAATTTGACCTTCAACATCTAGACTAATACAATCTCTCACTCTACACAATTAACAAAGATTCTGATTTGCTCTAGACTTAACAAAATGGACTTTCATGCTCCTTTTATGCATACTAAATAATTGATGAACTATTTGTGTAAATGTAACTTGATCGATAAACCCCTTATATAATCATAAAATTAAAGATTCCAGACAAGCCTATGAAAATTTTTCAAATGAAAGAATTTTTAAAAGAAATGGGTTTCATTTTCTCAGCTTCACATGAATAATATAGAGATGAAGATTTTAAGAAACTGCTCAGACATAATTCTGATGGTTTCTGCATTATTTGTAATTTTTAAACTTCTATCTCTTATTATACATATTAATAATGTTTTAAATTATATCTCCTTTATTAAAAAACATAATTTGTGGTAATAATATAAAATTTGAAGATACCATTAAGCTAAAATAATACTCAAACCAGAGTGAAAAAAATTACTAAATTACTAAACAAGATAGTGGTGTACATAGGTTAATTAGAGCAGGAAAAAAATGGGTTGATCTGTTCACTTAGGCTCTTCACAGTAATGAATCTGTTAAAATGGTTGGCAAAAGTCAGACTTGGAAAATAAATTCATAACCTAGGGGAATAAAAATAGCTATTGCTATATAAATGTTTGCTCAGTATATAGAGTAGCCAAATGATTTAATAAAAGTTAAAAAATCCTCTGAAACTAATAATATGGATTAAATATTTTTAAAAATCTTCATTAAAAATCAAAGTGTGATTGGCGTACATAGACCTAAATCAAAATTACTGTGATCTTATCTTAGATCTAATATGCCTACCATCAAATTTAATACTTTGTTTTAAAAATATTTTCATAATATTAGGGTCTCACACATAAGGAATTTCTAAATTTACAAACTAAAAATAAATGAGTTTTAAAAATTAGACTGTTTTAATTTAACAGTTACTATGTTAAAATTACATCAAACCAATCCAAGATTAGACACTTACTCTTAGTCGTTAGGTCCTGTTTTGCACATTCTCCTTCTGCAATTGATACATCATCAATGGCAATGTCACCTTCTATGCCAGGACCTCGGATACCTTCAAAAATGAGCTACAAATATAAATGAAACAAACCTAAATGTAAAGCTTTGATTTGTAGATGGATTTTTACTGAGGAACCGAGGAGCCAAGCCTATAATCAACAGTAATTCTGGCATCATTTATTATTGAGAATCTTCAAAATTGTTACTTAAAAAAAATGAATGTTCTTAACAAAACCAATCATAGGATCTTCCCCGCTTAAAATTAGTTTTTCACACCTAAAGCTCTGTGTTGGTTTTAAAACAAAACTAAACTTAAGTGAATAATACAATAAAAACTACCACTGCTACAAATCCTATCGCTATTCATTTTCAGGGGTAAAGAAAAATTTTTATTTGAACAGTATTTCTCTGAAATAGATTCCCTCCACTTTTCTCTAAACATATAACACTGGTTTTCTAGAAATATATTATGGGATGAATCAGTTCATGGTTCTTTACAACAGCATTTATGTTTATTGAAGCCCAGAACAAGGTTTTACCATCTCTATGACATTGTTTGCTCTCTTGCAAATAACAATGAATAAGCTTCTCACATTCCCCATATGTTATGCCATACCTCTATAATTTCACTTTTGACATTCTATTTTTAAACACATGAGTATATTTATGGGTTTACTTATGTTGCGTGTTTAGTGTTGGGCCTTTGACTAGTATCTAGAACAGTGACTGGCAGTGAGAGTTAATACTGGAGAGCTGAAAGTATAGATGAATGACTTCAGTCTCTTTTCATTACTAAATTCTGAATATAATGAAAATATAGAGACAGCAGATTTTTATTATTTCATTTAAAAAAAATAAGACTGTTTTAAAATTTTCTTTATAACCCCACAATCATTCCTTGCTTCTAGCAAAACCTTTTTAATCCTTTTGATACAAAAAGTCAACCTATATGCATTTAGTGATTATAATCACCAAAATTTCTACATGCCAAAATGAAGTATCTAGTTTGGTCTTTTCAAAGAAAAATTAGGTTAATAAAGAGCTGTTTCAACATCAAGCTGATGTATGCTTTTTAATACAATTTTTAGCCTTATTTCATTGCAACAAATTGACAGAAAGACTATTTTTATCAATGCCTAAATTTTTGGTTCTGTTTATTGTTTGACTTTGAAAGTATCTTTTTTCATTTTTATTTTTTTTTAGTCTTTGAAAGTATCTTAATATGGCTCCTTAAAGTTAAGTTTGTGGTGATTTTCAGGATACTTATGCTACCTTTGAAAACTGATCTATTGTTCTCTGATATACTGTCATAATTTTATCGATTGAAATCTTTTAAGTAGTAAGCAGAAACATTAGTTATCAACTTTTGCATTGAGCTTCTTTTCCCTGCTTGTAGTCTATATGAATCCATTCGGTAAGAATGATTTTCAAGATTTGATAGGAGAAAAAGTTTGAGAAATTTTTATTACTATGTTTAATTTGCCTGGAAAGGCTTTTCTGCTTACCTATGTTGAGATAAATAAGTTAATAAAGATTTCCCAAAGCTATTTATTTGAAAAAAATCCAAAATTTCATCTATCAATCACTGAAGCCAGAATAAAATGGCAGACCGGAGTTAAGATATAATATAGAACCCAGTTGGCAGTATACAGATTCTCAGTCCTCAGAAAATCAGAAATGAAATATTACTTTGGCTGCCTGGAATAATGACTTGTATTTGACTTAAGGTGGTATTTGGAAATTTATCTGGGAAGTAGCTAAAACACCCTCAGAGGACTGTTTAAATCACAAGGTCTTACAAGTTGAATTAAAAACAAAATCAATGGTATAAAAATCCAAGAGCAGAAAAGGAATGAAATCAGAAAAGGGAAATCATTTTAATGACTGTGGAATTCCCCACCTAATGGATAGCACGTAAGTTACGTAACCAATAGCTCTATTAATATTGTTAGACATTAAAGTTATTTTCAGCTATTCTGAACAAGGCTGAGATGAATGCATTTTAAAACATTAATGTGCACACCGTTTTTTAGAGCACATGGCTCTTTAAGGTCATCCTACATTGCCCCTGTCGGCACTATTGCCTGTTTCCTAATCATGGGTTTTTAAGTCATTAGCTATTTTTCCTTATTTTGAAATGTGCTGCTTACCTGGTATAGAATCAATGTTAGAGTAAATCAATGGTTATTCCCACCCCCTTCTTAGTTTCAGTCATGTGATGCTGAGTCTTCTCTCCTGAAGATAACAACATGAATGGAGTGTTATCTTGGAGAAAGTCAGAACCTACAGATTCATGCTGCTATGAGTCTTATTCCATAAAGTCCAACATGTTCCACTTTGGCCACATGGCTAATACTTAACTGAACAAAAGTGGAGTGCTGTCATCACAATTCTTTCTTTCTTGCAGTTATTATAAAGGATCAAATTGAACAAAGTATAGATTTCTGCCTTTCAGTCAGGTTTTAATTAATTCTGGACTGCAGCAGGAATAAGGATGTACTAATCAGGAACATTTACTTTGGTAAAGAGGAAACTTCCTCAGTAACCAATAGTTTTAATTTTAAAAGGTGATGTGGGAAAAGAAAGGAAGCAAACCCAGCTTGTGGAGGCTTTATCATGTAGCAACGGCAAAGAGGAGGACTGCATTCTCCTGTGCTCTTGTGGGAAGTGAAGAGAGAAGGCTGATAAGGGTAGGTTAGAATGTTCTGCACCTGCTAGCACTTGAAACTTAAACAGATGAAGCTGGAGTCATAGTTTTTTCATTGGGAAGGATGCTGAAGAAACAGGCTTAGGAGTACATGATTTTCTTTTTTTTAATATTTTTATTTACTTCTAGGAGAGAGAGAGAGAGACAGCTTGAGCAGGGGAGGGTCAGAGAGAGAGGGAGTCACAGACTCTGAAACAGGCTCCAGGCTCTGAGCAGGCAGTCAGCACAGAGCCCGACGCGGGGCTAAAACCCACGAACCAAGAGATCATGACCTAAGCGAAAGTCGGACGCTTAACCGACTAAGCTACCCGGGCGCCCCAGGAGTACATGATTTTCTATCTTAGGTATGTAGACGTGAATAGGTAAGAAAATTATCCACAATGTTTCTCACTTATTTAAAGCATACAATTATTTTTACTTAGGAAGTTCTAGTCACCCACAGGTAGGTGCCAATATAAAAAAGATGAGACTATTAAAAAAAAAGAACTAAAATGTGTAAGTCATCACAATCTTTTCTGAACTTTTCAAAGCTGCTTGCTGGCCCTGGAATGATGCTGCCACTGCTCAAAGCATTTCAAAATGCCTTTTACTGACCATAAAGTATCAGTCGCTCCTAATTTTCCCATTTGCTTTCTTTATCCTCCTTCCTCTGCTTCCTGTTCAGGTTAGACCTACGTTCATGCTTAAACACATGGTTGGAACTAGGTTTGGGCTAAAGACAGAACCCTGAAGCAGAGTCGTCGTGAAGGATGCTGCCACACTACTTTTGTGTTAGGACTGAGAGGAAGTGTTGGAGAGCCTTTTGAGGTAAGTGTCAGAATAAACTGACTGATGCAATTTAATGTGTGTGCTGCCTGCGGGGAGATGGCCAAATATCAAAAAAAAAACAAATCAAGAGAAGTCAAACTCACGTGTCGTCAGGACAGTCTATATCTAGCACATTTTCTTATATGAATACTTCATCCCTTGTTGATCCTGAATGAGTTAAGTGTTAAAGAAAGAAAAGCTGGCTGATTTGTAAATCTATTATTACCTTTATCTGTATAACTATGAATAATACAGTTTGTCATTAAGTAAACCAATTTAATTTCTGTATATTGTTTGTGGAAATCAGAGAAATACAGTAATAGCTTAGATACTATAAATATCGTAGTAGATGATGAAAATAATTTCTGATAATCAATTTCTTGGGACAGTAATATAATTAGAGTTTGTAATATTTATTTGTAATCTTGCAACAATAGGGAATCCAATCCAGTAGTCCAGAGAGATACTGCAGTCCCCTCAGCATTCTATTTGAACAGGAAAAAAAGGATCCTATGCCGTATGTTTGTTTGTTTCCTTTTAATTCCCATAACAGTTATGCTCCTAAGAAGATATAGATTGTTTTTGTAAACACCTACACACTCTCACAAGGAGATATTTATTGCATTGTTCTTTTTATGTTCTGAACTCCAACTATATATTTAATTATTATGACAAAATTTTATGGATTCTAATGAACTTATAAGTGGCTTCAGGTCTAAGACCTAGAGGGATACCTTTTCCTTTATACTGTTTTTGATTGTGAAGTAGGTAACAGAAATAAAATGCATACATAGTCAATTTAAATAGTGTACCTTGACCAAACTTTCAAGTGTTTCTAAAAATAAATCTTTGGTGACAGTTTTCCCAGGCATAAAAAAGGAGAAACTATAACAATTCATTATGATGTATCTCAAATTTGGAAGCTATAATCTGTATGCAATGAAAAAGTGATTTTATTCATTTATAAAAGAAGTGCTCTCTAGTTTATTTTTAAATGTATTTCTGAGAGAGAGAGAGAGAGAGAGAATGCGCATGAGCAGGAGAGAGTCAGAGAGAGAGGGCGATACAGAATCGGAAACAGGCTCCAGGCTCTGAGCTGGCAGTCAGCACAGAGCCCGATGCTGGGCTCAAACCCACGGACCATGAGATCATAACCTGAGCTGAAGTCGGATGCTTAACCGACTGAGCCACCCAGGTGCCCCTCTCTAGTTTAATAGGTTACATTTTGTCATGTTTTTATGAAGGACCATCATGATTCTGAATACTATTACATTACAGGGATAAAATTATGTTCCTTTCCTTTTCAATACTTCTGAAGTACATTTGGTTTAATTGCCATGAAGAAGGAATTAATGACATCTAGATACTTAGGGAGAAAATGTTAAAGTTTAGACTTCCTAAAAGAAGGCTTAATTTATGTAAAACCTGTTTATACACAATCTCACTGATATTATTAAAATGATTTCCCTTAACTGAAATGACAAGTTTAAAATTTTATATGTTTTCACAGTGTGTACATGCAATTCAGCAAACCTAGTATGCAAGAAATACTGC